AGAAATTTGTTCAAATTAGGTGGAAATGATTCTGTCATTGCTAAAACATGTTTATGAGCTGGGGAAGCAAAAGAGGTTGGGAAAAATGAGTGCTACTCACAGCTGTACGGCTAACACACATATGTATACATGTGATTACCATCCTCAAGATATTCAACCCAAAAGAGATAATAGTGATGTTTACCACCAGATTGTCTCCCACACATTTTCAGGATTTGATATAAAAATATTTTTGTATGATCCAAAACATTACTCTCATCTTCCAGAATGCAAAAACAGGCCATGTTACAAAGAGTTAGATACGAAGAGAAGTCCTGTGATCTGTGAAGTTTCTGACACTCCTTAACATCGGGTGCGTGCTTAGGGTCACAGCCACCGCCCTGGGCTCTTCCAGTAATGCTCAAATACAGAAGCTCCCACCCACTGTCTCCTCTCCTTGGACCTAGCCCATCTTAAACTTAACAGAAACAATCCTAAATTCTACCCACACTATTGGACCCTAGACTTTGGACTCTGGAAAGTATATGATCTTAGGAAGAACTAAGCTATGAACCCCCAAAAGGCAAAGGAAGTCATTAGAGATGTTTGACTTTCAGACTGTGATAAAGTGACCTAGTAGCAGCAACCCCAAGTTGTAATCGACTACCTAATACTCTAAGAACATTTTACTGCAACTTCCGTCTTGCTTTTATTTTTCAAAAGCAATATTTTCTACAGAAATTTAAGCATGTTGAGGTCTGGAAAATCGAGTCACATGTAGAAGCCTTAACGGATTAGGCCTCTCAGATGCATTAAGATTTTGTTAGAATCGTTGAGAGTCATTATGTTTAGCAAATATTTGTCAGTTGCCTATTATGTGACAGTTCCATGCTAGATGCCAAGAGGAGATAAAATGATTCATATATGCAGTCAACCACCTAAAGGAAGTGGAAATTGATTCTGTATACAAATAGCCACATTTCAAGGCAGAATATGAGTCTGAAGGTTACTGAAGCTTGATGTAGAACCATCACAATAAAGAAAAGCTCCGTGTGGAAGACACTTCAAATAAGCCTTTAAGGGTGCACAGGCAGAGACGAGGAGAAGGGCATATCATCAAGACAGTATTGCCAAAGGCTGGGACATAGGAAGGCGCCATGAACACTTGAAAAATAGGACATTGCTTAGAGAGCAGTGGTTCTTAACAGGAGAGGTTCCAGGGTTTTGAGACATCCTACAACACAGGACAGTCATACCCAATGAAGCTTTGTCCCCAGGTCTACCTGATTTTCAGATATTTCGACAATCCCGTAAGAGGGAAAAAAATTGATAATGACCTA